TTGATATTTTTATATATTATATACACATGTGTACAGCAGCACGATGACGCGTGCGATCGGCTTCTCCTCTGGCTTCGCTATCAGCTTCCCTTACGGCTTAGCTTTCAGATTCTCCTGCGACTTTACTCTCGGCTTCTCCTGCGGCTTCTTCTGCGGCTTCTCTCTCTCGGCTTCTCCTGCGGCTTCGCTTTCAGCTTCTCCTGCAGCTTCGCTTTCAGCTTCTTCTGCAGCTTCGCTTTCAGCTTCTCCTGCAGCTTCTCCTGCAGCTTCTCCTGTGGCTTCTCCTCCTCCGGGAGCGTCGGCGCGAGGCCGAGTGACTCGAGGTAGGGCGCGCACGTCTTCTCGATGGCTCGCGTCTCGGCGAGCGACAGCGCGCTCTTCCAGCCGTACGCGTGCGCGGTCGAGTCGCTGCGGTACGTCGAGAAGCCGTCACGCCCCCCCCCCTCCCGCGCGCGGCCGACCACCGAGCGCGATCTCGTCGATGAAGCGTCCGACGGCGGCGTCGTAGTCGATGCCGGCGAATCGCAGCAGCTCGCGGCTGTACGTTTTGATGTCCGTGACGAAGTCCTCGTAGCGCAGCACGAGCAGGCGGTCGGCGAGCACGCCGGCGTCGCGCGCCGTCGCCCAGTTCGCCTGCATGTCGTGGCAGACGGCGTGGATCGTCGACGCGATGACCGGCTTGATGCCGACGTTGCGTCGCGACGCGATGACGGCGCGCGGGTCGCGCACGAGGTAGACGACGCGCACGTCGGCGCCGCTCTTGAGCAGCGGCAGCAGGTCGGCGACGTGCAGCCGCACCGTCTTGACGACGTGGTGGCGGTGCGCGCGGCAGATGGCGTCGAGGCGCGGCGCGACGGAGGTGGCGATGGTCGGATCGCAGCCGTGCAAAATATACTGACGATATTGCCTGTTGCACATTTATGTAAGTAGAGCGCGGACGGTTTGTGCGATAATAGACGCGTTATAGGGTACATACGGTATAGAGAGCGTTACACGGGCTAGGATATATAGCCGTGGCACGCGTGTGATAAAGGGCGAGGAAGGCCCTACGCGAACGTATTATGCGTCACGTTTAACGCATGGAAACGAGGTTAGTATACGCGGCTAAAGTTATGTCTCTGTAAAGACAAGTCGCGTATACACGGTCCGAGGGAAGGACTACGGGGGATTTTTGTCGCAGCATATATACGCTGGGAATCCTCCACATAAAGTGTCAGGGAGCACGGGATATAGATAGGCTCGATGTGCAAGCACCCTAAGATACTAGGACGTACCTGAACGATATAAGGAATCGTTCAGTCACGCCATAATGAATTGGCACAGTAGATAACCGTATGATATATAGTTATGCACCGGTGTATAGTTGGATACTATAGAGGGCTGGCGACGCGGTAATGGCAAGCACATGCAGATGATGTTATTTTGGGAAAAATGTGACGCTGAATACGGCAGAGTATATTTAGTTAGGAACATGGCATATATAATGGCAGGATTGTTTGAAGATATTGAGGAGAGGGGTATTACGAGTGACCTGGGTTTCGATGTATATGTGCGCACACATGCATTGAAAGCATATGATCATTAGTGATATTCGTTGTGGATGGCGCTATACGTACTCCTGGGGATTTTTGTTTTTTTTCAGTGATGTTATAATATCTATTTTCTTTCATTGTATTTATGGCGTATTTTGGTATTTCAAAGT